GGCTAAAAAGGTGTTGTTTTTCTCTGAAAAGTGATGCAGACTCCAATTACACCATGGCTTATCTTTTCTTTTCTTCAAAGAAACAAAAAAGAAGAGGGAGGGAATTCCCCATTAACGACATTAACATTCGTACTAGATGAAAGTGCCCTCTCTCTCTCTCTCTCTCTCTCTCTCTCTCTCTCTCTCTCTCTCTCTCTCTATTAACAACTGTGCAGATGTCATTATCCTATTAGTCCGTACTACAACCTGGCACTGCCACGTGGTATCACCGTATCACTGTATAATTTCTCCAAATCAAGAGGTGTCTTTTGGATTTCTTACAAATTTATGTTAACACAAAATTAGAAATATGAGGTCCTTATTCTTGAATAGGAATATTCATTGAAATGTCACCTGAACTTATACTTTAGTTTTAATTTGTCACCTAAATTTTTTTTTTTAAGAGAAATGTCACTTGAATTTTTCAAAATCCATGATTTGTCACCTTACTTTAATATCATCGAATTTTTCAACTATTTTCAAGGGTATTTTAGTCTTTTTATTTTTAAGAAAAAGACTAAAATACCCCTAGAATATTTTATTAGTTTAAAAGTTGACTTTTTGACCGGGAAGGAATTTGGGGATTTTAGTCATACTGTTGCGTAGAGCGCGACGAAACGAGTTCGTAGACATGTAGTGGACTCAAACCGGAATTGTAACGAAGGAGTTACGATCAAAAGAAGTTCAGTGGCATAACCGTAAATATTTCGAAATTCAGATTTTATGAATAAACCCAATTTTCTTCTCCTCATCCAGGGCGACCATCCGACTTTGGGAGCTGTTTTCTCTCAGCTCCAAAATCCGATTCAGGCAAGACCAGTGCCAAACGAACCACCAAACTCCCCTCTTCTAACCCCAGCCCTTCGGTGCCTCGATCCGCCGCCATAGTCGCCGGAAACAGCCACGAAACAGGCGGTGCTGAACAGTTTTTGACAAAACTTCCAAGCTTTCGTTCTCCGTCGTCCGGCCACCAAATCGGACGAGTGAGGTATGGATTTCTAGCTATTTTTCATGCTATAGCTGCTGGTTGGGTAGGATTTCAGAAATTTTCAGCGTAGATAGCTCGATTTACGAGCTAGGTTTCAGCAGGTTTTCGGGTCACTGTTTCGGCCACTTCCGGTCAGTTTTTGGGGTAGGTCCAAGAACAAAAGTGGTTCCAAATAGGGTGTTTTACCTAGGATAGGAGTCTTGAGCTGAGATGTTGAGATTTTCCGGCGAAGCGTTATTGCTTTAGGCACCACGCGCTGCTGGCACGTGGGCGGCGCGTGAGCAGTAGGGTGGAGACCACAGTCAGTCCTAGAATGATCTCCTAGTCCTCACGAGCGCGTAGAATTTCGCGGATCTTAAGTCGAATATCGTTTGAACCCCGAATACTCCAGAATGGTCAGCCCTAGAGTAGTTTTACTGTAAACAGTTCAGTTACAGGTCAGGAACAGAGGAAAGAACTACGTGTGGCTTGATCCCTCAGTAAGGGTACGTAGGCAGCCTACAGTTATCAGACGCAGCCACAAGTTAGGGGCTCAGGGTTTATGTTACTGTTTTCATGGCATTTTGGTCAGTTACGACCCGTAGTTACCAGGTTTCAGTTTTAAACAGGATTCGACCCGGATCTCAAAGTGGAATTTGGGTCGGGTCGTTTCAATCATTGAAATTGAAAAGATTAAAATACCCTTGAAAATAGATGGAAAATTGGATGATGTTACACTCAAGTGACAAATCATGGATTTTGAAAAATTCAGGTGACACATTTCACTTAATTTTTTTTTTTTCAGGTGACAAATTGAAACTAAAGATATAAGTTCATGTGACATTTCAAACAAATATCCCTCTTGAATATAATGCTTTTAGTGTCTGGATATTCCTTTTCATTTATCTAGGATTATGTTCCATTGAACTTTTTCAGAGGAAGAAATGTATAGAAGATTTGATATAAATTCAAAAATCCAACCAAGAGTTGGGTTTAGTCCACACATTTGTTGTTGTTGATACAAGTCCTTTGACATTTTTGTGCTACATAGGATTTTATTTTTTTTTTAGACTTTCTGTGATGTAGACATATAATTTTTTTCATTTTAAAATGATTTTGTTGTTCCCATTATGGGTATGAAATTGATTTGTATGACTATATAACTACGATATTTTATTATGATTTTAATTTAGGGACATAAATAAGGTAATAGACTGATTTATGTGACAATAATTACGAGATTCCATATTTCTTGTGATTGATATTGACTTTTATGTTGTTCTTGCTTGGTTAAGCAAGCCCATCACCACATATTATAAAGAAATTTTTGCTTAATTAAACAAAAATGACGAACCAACAACAGATACTATGGAAACAGAAAAGAAATTAGAGGAAGACAAAAGAATTACATACTTCTAGACCAATTGTATTAGGTTTACCAATTCCTGTTCCCAACCTCCAATGTTAAAGAAGTCATTAACCGCATATGTGAGAAATGCACTTTTGGACATTGCATGCTCATGCTCAAATCAAAAGTTGAGCTTTAAACTCAGTGACCAATGCATATGCATGTTCTTTGCATAGAAGATGGTGAGGGTCCTTGTCATGGAGAAATTATAGAATGATACTGTATCACCACGTCAGCTGGTGATACTTCCACTCAAAATTTGCCACATGTATTTTTTTAAACAAAATTAAAATATATTTTACAACTGGACTTTGGCTTACAACTTTACCCTTCAACTTTAATGACCCTAACCCTTCCCCCCTCCGGCTTCCCTGTGTTATGCCCCTGCTATCGACGCCACACAACCCTCTTCCCTTCCCCCTCAGCCACCCACCCCAGCCTTCCCTCCCCCTCCAATATTCCCACCCCCTCTCTCCCTCTCATTTTCGGTGAAAAGTTAAACCCATTAATAAAAAAGCCAACAATCTTAAAAATATGTGCAAACCCATTAAACATGAAACCATAAATCTTTAAATAAATAACTAAATAAAACACTAGTGAAAGAAGGGAAGATTGACGTAATGGGCAACCCGAAATTAATTGTGTTATAGAGCAAGTCATTGGGGCGGGGCTTGATGAAAGAAATCCTCCAAAAATCTCCCCCTTCTACATCAGATTCTTCTTCTTCCTCACCATCTTCATTATCAGCTTTCATTCAAGGTCTTTTTAAAAGAGTAAGAAGTGAAATTTTCAGAGATTACCCATCTTCTTTAGCTTCAAGGGTGTCTCCAGAGATAAAATGGTAGAGTTTGACTGGATTTTGCTTATGGGTTTTGAGTCCTTTGACAATAGAAGTTCTTTAGATTCATTAACTATGAAGACGGTGAAGGCTGAGGTAGGTGGTGAGGGAGAAGGAAAGACGTGTGGTGTTGCAGATAGCAGGGATAGCGTAGGGAAGAAGACGGTGGACAGGGAAGACGGTGGGGAGGGGTTTCAGTGATTAAAGTTGAAGGGTAAAGTTGGTAGCCAAAGTCCAGCAGTAAAATATATTTTAATTTTGTTAAAAAAAAATACATGTGGCAGATTTTGAGTGGGAGTATCACCAGCTGATGTGGTGATACAGTATCATTCTATAATTTCTCCTTGTGATGGTGGTTTTTACCTCTTCATATAAGTTGCAAAAGTACGGTGATTTGTGATTTGTATTTTGGGTATTTGGCTTTAGTATGTGGGTCTCTCGCATGGTGCATTTCTTTCTTCTCTTATTTTGCCTCTTTATGTATCTAAGCTATAGGTATGATGCTTTATAAGCCCTTGTCTTTTTATCTACGTAAGTTATAAGTAACACGTTTTATGATTTGTCTAGCAATTTTTGTGTTTAATGTACCAGAATTCTAGGTAGTGACATGAGTAATTATGTTGATTTTTGTGTTTTGTATATTAGAGCATCCACAATGGGCTCCCTAAATCAACTTATTAGACAAATTTTAAGAAAGAATTAGAAAAATACAACTCAAACCATGCTCCCTATCCACCTCCTAAATAGGGAGACCTCTAGGAGCTCCTAAATTCGAGGAGAGAAAAGGGACTCTTAGTAGCTCTTTATAATTTAATGCTTCTTTGTTTTATGCATAGTTTAAACTTTTAATAATGCTAACTATTTTTTTTAAATATTTTTTTTATAGAGATGGACCAATCATATTGAATTAAAAAATAATTATAGTATTTATGACTCCCTAAACTAAGGAGTATGATTAGAGTTCAAATTTTATAGAGAGCTCCTAAAATACCTTTTCTGCGTTTTTAGCTAAATTTTAACTAAAAATTAGGGAGTATGATTGTAGATGCTCTTAATTTACCTATCGGTAAGGATAGGCAAGTTTATATGTCTACGTAAATTCATGTCTTCATCATTTTATCTTATGCATTGTACCTATTTAACATATTCTTGTTTTTATTACCTTTGGGTTAGGTTACAAGTTGAAGAAAAAATTGTGTATTTGTTAAATGAGTTTTTACCACATACATAGATAGATTGTTTATTGATGATTTCTTTTTATTGTTGCAGGTGTTTTATCATGGAAATAAAAAATTTAGAAGTCAAAATTTGAATGAGGAAAAGATGCCTGAAATCATTTTTTTACATTTTTTTTACATTTTTAGTTTAAAGGGCAAAATTGGTATAAAAATTGAAGAATGAAAGCTAAGAACTTGAATAAAAAAAGAGAGAGACTTGGACTAGACCTAATGGCAACCAAACATTTTGGACTTAGATCTAAAAGGCCCTAGGTTCTAAAATGGACGTCTTCCTCGTTTTGTAAACTCTTATGATAGAATTGTAGGAAATATAAAACAAAACATATATATATGTGTGTTATATAATATAATTTGTTGAAGGAAATAGTAGTATATTTTGTTTCTTATGAATCTGATATTTGTTATCGGGATGCTCTCAAGTACTAAATTCCAAGACATGTGAACCATCTTATATTACACTCGTGATCACAGAGAGAGAGAGAGAGAGAGAGAGAGAGAGAGAGAGAGAGAATATATAATACTGAAATATATATAAATGTTTAAAGAAGAAAAGCTGGTTTGAGCCCCCTTTGGGAGCATCTGCATCTCAGAATGACATAAGACATAAACCTGTAAACCAAGATGAAGCACACCATGACCACCACATTCCTCCACCTACTTTTTTCTTCATACCCTGCATCTCTCAGAACGTCCTCCCCTGTGACCATGCATTTCCCAAAGAAATACTCCAAGCACTTATCAGAGTTAGAGAACTCGTTGACCAGAAACCCTTCGAACGGATACTTAAACAGCGATATGTAATGCATGAAAATCCAGTAGCTTGGAATCCCATGCTTTGATATGAAGTAGCCAGAGAAGAGAAAGAACGATCCCATGACGCCCGCGATGACGGAGTTTCCCACGATGAAATTTGGCACGAGTGCGCTGAAACACACCACCACTGAATTTGCAGTGTATAATATCAACCATATCAAAAGAAGGAAATGAAAGAATGCCATGAAGTTGGGGTTGAGCCCAACAAGCCAGTACAAAGGCACGGTGAATAGGATGGCCAGGATAAGCAGAAATGGCAAATAAACCAAGCCATTGGCAATGGCGTAGGAGGAGACTCTGTAGCTCCCGCAAGAAGTCTCCTTCATCAGAATTTCCCTCTCTTGCAGAAAGATTGGCAGTGCTTCTGTGGTGCATGAAAGCAAGAATGTTAAGATGAATGCGAAAAGACCTACCCTTTCCTCTGCTCCCGTTAAATCATGTTTGAGGTCATAAAAGATGGAGCCCAAAACTAAACCAGAGACGAGCATTTGAATGGTGCGGCAGGCAAACAGCTCCTTTGTCCGGAAGATGTTTTTGGAGAATCTGTGAGTCAAAATGATGGTTTCTTGCAATCTCGAATTCGCAAAATCGGGAGAATCTTGGTTAGGTTTATTGTTGATTCCCATTTCTTCGTGGTGGAGATTATTTACCTTATTGGAAGATTGTTCCTTGTTAGACTCCTGAAAGAGCTGTTGCAGGGTCAACTTACCACTAGGACTCGTCTCGCCTTCGCCTTCGCCTTCTCCTTCCGCTGTGTTATGATGTTGACGATGTTGTTGTTGATGATGTTTTTGAATGGTTTCGATGGAGTCCATGGCGAACTCAACGAGGTTGACATGGAGAGGAAGCTCCAATCCCATGAGTCTTAAATTCAGGCCCAGCTGATCCACAGTGCCATGGTGGAGCACCGAGCCCTTAGCCAGCAACACAATTGAATTGAACAGCTTTACAATTCTGAACCCGGGCTGATGAATACTCAAAATTACGGTTCTGCCCCGGGTTTCAGCCATGCTCTTCAGCATATCAATGATCTGAAGCGCAGAGGTGCTGTCCAGTCCCGAAGTTGGCTCATCCAGGATGAGCACTTCAGGATCATGGATCACGTCCACTCCGATCGAAACCCGCCTCCTCTCTCCACCGGAAATGCCCCGAACCCTGTCGTCTCCGACTCGAGCCCGGGCCACTCGACTGAGGCCCAGCTCTTCGATTAGGGCCTTCACCCGGGAGCTGAGCTGAGCTGGAGGGACTCTCAGCCTTAGCTTGGCGCTAAACATTAGGGTTTCTTCCACCGTGAGCAAAGGAAATAAGGTGTCCTTTTGTGTCACGTACCCGGAAACCTTCTTGAACTGAGCTTTGTCCACTGGCTTTTGGTTCACAAACATTGAACCGGTTTGCTGTGTGATTTTGCCTGCGAGAATCTCGAGGAGAGATGATTTTCCAGCTCCGCTTGGACCCACAATGGCTAGGATTTCCCATGGCCTTGCTCGCAAGTTCACATCCTTTAGCACTTGTCCAACTCCTCCTCGTCCTCCTCCCTCCGATCCTGCACCTGCAACCAGAATATCATGATCATCCTCTTCCACTGCCACTGCTACTTTTGCTTGCTTCTGATGATCAAGCGGTTGGCGTTGATTCTGGCTCAAGATCTTAAAAGGTTTCTTCTGATCTGATCTGTTGTTGTTGTTGTTGTGTGTGTGAATCTTGTAGCTGATGCCTACTGCCTCTATCTCACTGCCTTGTTTCTTCATTGAAATATGCAACAAGCTCTCAGTTTCTGCTGTTTTTTTCTCTGCTAGCTTTCCACTCTCTCTCTCTCTCTCTCTCAAGCTCAATATATTGCAAGCTAAATAAGGACTTCTACTGCTTTCTGTTTTTTTTTTTGCCTTTTCCTAATAACATTTAACATCCAGAATTATTTTTTTTTTCCATTTGGCCTCAAGTGCTTTTTCAATCCGTAATATACATTTTGTTTATATAAATAATTCACGTGCATATTTATCTACTTTCTATTTCTGTTTTCCATTTTTGTCTTGGAAAATTGCATATATATAAGATATAGTTCACGTGGCTTGCTCAGTGGCATCTGTTGGTTTCTCGTTGTACACTTTTGTTTTTATTTCTACTCTCTTGCGATTAAATAACTTGAAATCTCAATAATATCTACACATACGAAAAGTTTGTTTTGGTCTGCATATGTCATCCAATTTGTACAGTTGTGATTATAGAGACTACTTTATATCGGTTCTACTTTGGACCATGGCCTAGTGCTGTCTCCACACTTTACAGCCTGGTAACTTATTATTATGAAAAACAAACATGTATACATATCTAGACAAAGTTTAATTATTTGTTAATCTTCTCTTCAAATATACCATTTGTTGGATAAAATGTTGAGTCCCAATCAGCGACGGAGCTAGAATTGTACAATTAGAATGACCGAAGTAGAAAATACAAGTATATAAAATACCTAAATATTCAATAGTTTCATGATATATAATATAATAAATGAGAGATAAAAATATGGAGGGGGGATGGGCTCCGGTCCACTCCAGGCCTAGTTCCAATTCACCATAAATAATGTTAAATAAATATATATATATATATATTTTATATAACAAATTGTCTTTTATATGGACTGGACGTCCATAGGTTATTACCGTGCAGACGTCCAGAAGAGAGAATAATTATTCTACATAATGTTATACATAATTAATACGTACATTTTAAATAATAAGATGATTATTATGTACTTTTTGGTTTTTGTTGTTTTGGAGTTTAAACACTAGTATATATGATTAATAATTTTATGGGTGATGACACGGCAGAAATTTGGAATTATACGTGGAGTAGGAGTAGGATGGGGTAGGGTAAGAGGCTAGCTAGGGACTTGAGCAAGACATAAACCAGAGTGATGAGTGGCCCTCCAATTATATTTGTGGCTGAAATCAAATCATATATACTAACCGTACGTACTACTGCTTAAAAATAAAATAAAAAACCAACTCTTGGCATTTTCTTTCTATTTTCACATCGATTGTCTTCGAGTTTCAGACTCTCATGGGGCTTTCGCTGCCTAAACTTTTCGCTTGCATGCGAATTACGATCACATTTTCACCACACAATTTACTTTGACGTATATAAATACTAGATAACCAAAGAATCTAGTGCGCTTTTAAGCCTTCAATATGTAAGTGCAATGATCTTTAAAAAAAAAAAAAAAAAAAAAAGGGCATACATTGTATATTAATTTCAGTTCTTAAAATTGAATTTTGATTGCTCAGTCCGAAATACAAAATACATACTAAAAAGAAGCTGTAGGTTTTATAATAAAGGACTCGAATGAAAAATTGGTGAGTTTGTTCATATTGGTTATTCGTAAGAGTTTAAACATGCTTTATTTTGGACTAATCACATTTCTTAGAAAATTTCTTTGCATGTTCGTGAATCCATGATGTTAGAAGGCTTTTGCAAATTTCTATACATAAATTCACCTATGTTCGGATGTTATTACTGTATTAACACCATGTATTCTACTACCCTCTTTACTTTTCTCCTTGTCTATAATAACGTACGTATAGAAGAAAATATATGTCTTGTAGTTTTCTTTTATTTCATGGCATATATATACACACACAATCCATTTTCCATGCAAGAAAATAACGTAAAGAAAAAGTGACGGGGAATGAATCTTTTATGTGGACGAGAGAGCCCGAGAGATCTTAGTCCATCTTTTTGGGTGGATTAAAATTCTCTGTGGTTCTCATTCAAAATGATTTTGATTTGTCTTCCACTTTTTTGTGTTTTCATTTTACGTTTGGTTTGGTGGGGCTGTCTTTTTATTATATAATAATAATAACATGAGTTGATTTTATTTTTTTTATTAAAAAAACTTGTCTGGATTTGTGTTATATTTTTTTATGCGACTGGTTGTAGCACCCGTGAACTCTATTGTGTGGTCAGGGAGGGTCCTTCGCAAGCCCACCACCAGTTGCCAGTGGACCCCACGAAGGCCATTCATCTCCATCCGTCCGTTGACTATACACAACTTTGGCCCGTGAACCCATCATCTTTTCTTTCCCCTTCTTAGTTGCCAACTGCCTTAAAATCTTGGGAGATTCACGAATATAGCCAAAATAGGAGCTGGAATTATAAAAAAAACTCCACATGAAATGCACTTTAGAAACACACCCAAAACTCATTTACTACATAAGAAATTAGTGTTTAAGTTCTTATAAATTACATGACTGCTATTGATCAACTTAAAAAAGAAGACTAATACAAAAAACTTAAATAGCACCCAAAACAAGCCCAACCCAATTTTATAAAAAAACACAAACAATTCATTACAACACAAAAGGTCTTGAAAACCACAGTTTCATTAACGTGTCATGTTAATTAATAATTGTAATGTTCTACACCTTTATTGTCATGTTGATTAATTGTTGTAATGTTCCAGTTTAGAGTAATAACACTGTCATGTCATGTTGATTAATGGCTATAATGTTCCAGTGTAGGGTAATAACATTGCTAGTTTCCTATAATATCCTATTTCTAATGCATGTTTACCCCTGTAATGTTTAATGGTTGTAATGTTCCAATCTAGGGTAATAACACTACTAGTTTATTGTCATGTTGATTAATGATTGTAATGTTTCAGTTTAGGGTAATAACAATACTAGTTTCATATGACATCCTATTTCTAATGCATGTCTACTCCTGTAATGTTTCAATCTAGGATAATAACACTGTTAGTTTCTTATGACATTTTATTTCTAATGCATATCTACCCCTGTAATGTTCTAGTATAGGGTAATAACATTGCTATTTCCTATGACATCCTATTTCTAATGCATGTATACTCCTATAATGTTCCAGTCTAGGATAATAACACTGCTAGTTTACTATCATGTTGATTAATGCTTGTCATGTTGCTATTTCTAATACATGTCCACCAAAGAAAAGATGAAGAAAGAACAAATCTGACCAACTCAAAACAAGCTGAGCCCAGATTATTAATACTATTATGTCATAAAAGTATATTGTTAATACTCTGTCATAGAAGTACATTGTTAATACTCTGTCACAGAAGTACATTGTTAAACAAAAATGAGATTCATAACTAAAATAGTAACAAAAGTTGAATCGATCATCAAAACTTAAAATACATTTCGAAAATCAACTAAAATCCGAAGAGAAACACATAATTGAAGCAAAATATCAAAAATATCAAGTCCAAACCAAACAACGACGACGAAGATAACAACAACGACGATGTGGAGAAAGAGGAGTAGAGCTAAGAGCATCTGATCGAGGTTTGTTCTAGGTCTTGAACAATCAGAAAAAAGAAAAAATCAATAGAAACACGATTTTAGAACAAGAAATCGAATGTGAAATATTGAAAATTATAGATTAAAGATGAAGAATATAGTTGGACCTGAGACTGAGCTTCAATGGATGCTCCTCTTGCTCCAACACCAGAGAAAACACCAGTGAGAAAGGAGAAAATAAATCTGATTTAGATTTTTGGCAGATTTGGTTTTTTTGGCAAATCTAGTTTTTTGGCAGATCTAGGCATATTTGGTTTTATGGCAGATCTGATTTTCCTCTCTTAAATCCATAGTACAAGGATAATATAGGTATTTAACACACACAAATAAACTAAAAAACAACTATTAAATTAAGCTGTCAATTTTTGGGTTTTTTTTGGGTGTGTTTATAGTTTTTAAATAGTGTAGGGTTTATTTATAAAACTATGTCTAAGATTGGGTATATAACTAAATTTCTATAAAATCTTCTCAAAAGTTCTGAAAATTTAAAATCAACCCCAACAATATCATATTCACAAACCTGAAAAAAATTCTCCCTTTATACTCTCTGTACATATAGCAGTGTAATTTTTGCATATTCTGGTGTGGTTGGTGTACCATCCAATACACATGGAACATGTGGAAATATTATCCAATATGCATAGGACTTAAAAATAAAATATTTCCACATATTCCATGTGTATTAGATGGTACACCAGCCACATGGTACATAAATATAAAATACCCCTTGGTTCGGCATGCCACATGTATGGCTAATGAGCAAAGACTGCTTCACTATATTTTCTATATTGGCTCGTGCATTGAATTTCCTGATAATGAAATTCTCATGTCTAATCTCATGAAATAGGAATGGAGGATGTTCATTCCCATGTTTGGGAACGTTGAGAAATGAGTGTTAGAGTTTGAGTGGGAAAAGAGTTTCCTACACTCTTTATAAGAGTAGGGATCTTTCACTATAATAAACACAATTGGGTTTTTCTGAAGTGGGCTTTGGACTTGTTGACCTTATTTAAATTAAATATATATTTTTATATATTTAAGCTTTTGAACTTCGAATAACTTCAGTTAGTTTGAAATTCAAAGTTCAGACATATATGTTTGAACATATATGTCCAAGGGGTGTCTTAGGCTTATTTAAATTGCCAAACATATAGAGAACAAAACCAACTTTGAAACCCAATACATCTCACACAACACTGAAAACCATTGAGAGTACCCATACTGTAGTTCGCCAGATGCCAAAATTCAAGTGCTAGAATTTTGGTTTTGATGGTTGTATCCTAGTGGATAGTCATCTGCAAAACCACAAGCACTGGAGTGGGGGCAAAATACTGTCTAAAGACATAGCAAATCTGCTAGCCTCTATCATCTCTACAAGTTAGTATTTCTGGTTAATACAAACTCTTGTATCTGTAATTTTCTGCTGTTATATATTGATTCATTTAAAAGCCTTATATATATATTATGTTATATTATACAAGTTACTGATTGTTTCCAACAATGACGACCAAGAAAGGTCATT